GAGGACGGCGGAAGACAGGAGGGCCTGGCGGGAGCTGGTCCATGGGGTCGCGAAGAGTCGGACTCGACTGTGCGACTGAACAACAACAACAACAATGTAAGCATCCCAAATATCCAGTTTAGTGAATATTTTCCCTCTGGCCACTTCGGCCAGTAAGTCTTTGATTAGCAGCAAGGGGTATGCATTAGACATGGAAATGGCATTAAACTCCTATAGTCAGTACACAGCCTCAACCCCCCATCTTTCTTCTATTAACTCGCAAAAAGTCCTGTGCCTTGGCAGGGTTTCTATTGCACAGTCAGTTTTTCGATGAGGGGGCAACTCATCAGCCTAACATTCTTCAAACACCCGCCCCAAGTCTCTATATTCCGAAGGGCATGGCTCCTCCCCCCAGTTACGATTCCACTGGTGCTCTTGCAACGGGCGTCTAGGAAAGTTAATGTTCCTTGGCTCCATGGTACGTAACGGTCGTGCGCTGCGAGCCATGGGTTTCCCAGCACCATAGGGAATTGGGCAGTTGGGTGCACTATGAAAGACCAAAACCCCCACGAGCAAATCAGTAGTTTGGTACTGGCTCCTCTATCTTGATTACCGCAGCCCCCAAACTCGTAACTAACGAAGGGCTTATTAAGTCTTGGGAACAACCCGAATCAATTAGGGCCCGCATCCGTATTTGGGTCTTGGCCTCAGGGTGTAAAACAGTCACAGTCACAAAAAACAAGGAGGTACAGTTTCTCACCGAGTCTCGCCCCGGGGTCTCACGGACCTGCTGGCTGGTGCCCTTCACAGCAGGTCCTGGACTTTTCACTGCATCTGAGGCTCATCTCCATCGCTGGAGGAGGTGGTGCTTGAGGAGGGGAACTCTGCGGCTTGCAGGGCTCTGGGCGACTTTGGTCATTTCCCGGGTACCTTTCCCTTTTTCTCTCAGCGGACCTCACGCCATTCCTCACACCGATCTCTGTCTTTGGGTCAGGCCCAAGTGCAATCGATGGCAAAGTGGCCCGACCTTCTGCATCTCAGACAGAGCCCATTCTTCAGACGGTGTTTTCGGTCCCCGCTCGGCGGGAACCCTCTGCCTCGCGCTCCTTGCATTGCCCCCCCCCACGGGCCGGAGCCTTATGGTGGTATAACTTCACCAGGTTGTGGCAGTTTTATGCCTCACATACCACCTAGATCCAGCCAGCCAAAGTAAGGGGGCTGTCTTGGGCCAGCGCTTTCTCTAGAATGATGGTATTCAGACCAGCATGGTAGAATTCGATGAGAACCTCTTCTGGCCAGCCCAGGAGTTTTGCCACGGTTGCCTTGAACTCGTCGGAATACTCTTGCACCAAACGAGTGCCCTGGCGAATGCCCCTCAGTCTGGTTCTCGCCTTCTCCAGTTCCAAGGGTCTTCAAACTGGTGACGGAAGGCTTGCATAAAAGTGTCAAAGTCTTTCAGCTCAGGCGCAGCCACATTATACAGGCCCACAAACCAGTCCACTGCTCTATCTCACAGTCACAACCCCACAAAGTCAACCTCTGCTCATCTGACGCGAAGGTGTGGCCCCATTCCCTTAGCATCTTGTGTACCTGGATGGCAAAGAATGCCAGCTTGGCGAGGTTCCCATCAATGGTCGCCTCCAAGGCGTCCCGAGGTTGTTCGTGTTCCATGCTGCCTTTTCGTGGAGTGGGTCGAGGGGGGTGGCTTGGCTTCATCTTCCTTCTCCTCCTCCTCATCCTCCCCTGAGGTTTCGGAGACGTCTTTCTCCATTAACTCCTTCACTAACTTAGGCAACTTTTTTACAAGGTATTGGAACCCCCTCCTTCAGTTCCCATAGATCTGAGTGCAGACTGGTCGACTCTGTCTACGGAGGAGTCTTCCTCCCACTCCTCTTGCATCTTGCCCAATTTGGGGTCATCTTGAAAGGTGCGAGAGACCCGGTGTCTCTCATGCTCTTTTAGTCCCCTGGAGCCCCGGGATGCCCCCCAACCAGTCCTGATCATCCCAGCAATCGAGGGCTGGAAGAACACCTGCTTCTTCAACCATGAACTTGGTGTTTTTGCGGGCTTCTTCTTTTGGGTATCAGGCAGTGGGTTCTTGGGTTCAGAACCGGTACTGGTGCCTGCCCTGCCGTCTCCATCTCTGTTCCCCCTGTTGTGAAGGGGTGCCAGGTAGGAGAATGGTTCAGTTCTGACAATCTGTCAGAGTCCCAGTCAAATCACTCTCCATGCATACTTTCTTGATTGAAAGTTTTATTGGAAGATATGAGATGTTTAGGGAATGACTTCTTTTGTTAGAACTGAGGTGGTAAGGCGGGTAAGGTGCATATATTTACAATCACACATTCCATTCATACACATCAGTAATCTACCTAGACCATAGAAATTAGGGTCCTCCTCTAGCTAATCAAAGACTTTTCTCCATGGACATCTTCCCGTGTGAAACGATGTCTCGTTGGGGCTCCATAGAAGAGTTACAACAGCAAGCCAGTTTGGTATAGTGGTTAAATGCGCGGACTCTAATCTGGGAGAACTGGGTTTGATTCCCCACTCCTCCACTTGCACCTGGCTGGATGACCTTGGGCAAGCCACAGTTCTGACAAGAGCTGTTCTTGAAAAGGAGCAGTTTCTGTCAAGAGCTCTCTGAGCCCCACCCACCTCACAGGGTGCCTGCTGTGGGGAGGGGAAGGGAAAGGAGTTTGTAAGCCGCTCTGAGCCACCTTCGGGTAGTGAAGGGCGGGGGATAAATCCTACAGATGCACTCTCACTTTCATTCTTGCTCCCCTCCCCCTAGGAATGCTGTGGCAGGTGAGGGTAGAAGATAAGACCGCTAAAATACACTCTAAGGGGGAAAAGGGTAAGCTAGGTTAGAGCAGGGGAAGATACCTCAGGGAATCTTGAATGGCAATACAACAGTTACATATGATCAATCAACCCGAGCCTGACATTGTGTCATCTAGTGTGGAACTGTAAACATTGGGATTGTTAATTTTAATCTTAACTGTATTTAATTGTATGTTGATTTTCAATGTTGTGACCCACCCTGAGTCTTACTGTGTAGGGGAGGGTGCGCTATAATAATAAAGACGTCTAAGCCTCCAGCCATCAATACATCCTTTGTGTATAAATAAAAATATTGCAACTCATATACGTTTATGTGTATTCTATTAACTCACAAACTAGGATTGATTTCTATTTACTTATGAGACAGCTGAAGTTAAAAGTACTGTTTGGTGAGTCTGATAATATGGATTTCAATAAACAGAGTCCAAAATCAGCTTTTGTTCCTAAGGTGAATGAACCAGTGTTATAAGTATTTGAGAAACTAGTATTAACAGACATGGAGCAATTTGAGCACCCCAGGAGCCATAGTAGACACAATATGACTTTGGAAGAATATAGAACTTTAAATACATTACTTAAGGATGAGTTCATTACCATCAAACAGACTGATAAAGTTGGAGCTACTGTCATTATGAACACCGCAGATTACCATCTCATGGTGAGATGTTTTTTGGATAATCCCTCACATTACAGTGCAATAAATAATGACCCCACAGCACATATCATGAGAGCTATAAAAGTAACAGAGAATGAAGTTCTCATACTGGGGCATATAGATGAAGCCACTGTCAAATTAAGGACTTTCCTAGAATTCCAGTCTTCTATGAGTGTATACATATTATGTAATTGTTTATCTAGACTTTTTGCGAGTTAATAGAATACACAAAAACATATATGAGTTGCAGTATCTTTATTTATACACAAGGTGGTTGCTCTGGTTTTTGAATACACTTTTGTATACACCTTTTTGTGCATTATATCATTACTAGGGGAAATGCCCGTTGCGGGAGGAGGCAACGGGCCCGAGGGAAAGCTGTCGGCTTGGGGCAAGGGGGCTGGGGCCGGGCCCGCCCGGTGAAGCAGGGCTGGGGCACAGCGTGCTGCAACCTCCCCCACCCCCCGAGCATTCCCGGGGCCAGCGGAGTCCCCTCCAATGCAGTGCCTGCGGCCTGGCCAGTGACGGCTGTCCCAGGTGGCGAAGGCCGTCCCGGCCGCCAGAAAGAAGCCTCGCACTTGGTGGGGCCACAATCTCGCCCCACTGAAGGACTTTGCCTCTCACCGGTGGAAAGGTAGGAAAGCAAAGACATGCACGGCCGGGGTGAATGCCTCAGGCTGCGCTGGATCGTTGTTGCGCAGTGGGTGGAGGCAATGGTCAGTGTGGCAGGAGTGGGGCCATCACCTACCAGTCCCCGGACACGGCGGCCGCCTCCCCCGTCCCTGAGGCCAGGTGGCCCCGGCACAGGCCCCCCCTGCTGAAGAAGGTGGTGGAGTGAGGCAGACCGGCCAGCCGTTCGGGAATGAGCTCCTCACCCGCCGTCCCGGCCTCTGCCGTCCCCCTCGCTGACATTCCGCTTCTCCGGGGCTGCCGCATCCTCCTGGCACCGGCCCCCGCCCAGCCCCGTCGCCTGGCCTCGCAGCCTCCCTTCCCCGGCTCCTGGCAACGGCGTTTGCTCACAGCGTTCACCTCCTGCCTCCCAGCCAATGGCACGCCAGCAGCCTTGAGTGGCAGCTGGCAGGCCAATGGCTGATGGTGCGCATTTTTTTCTCTGCTCCCTTACTCAATTATATATAAGGAGAGATATCCTCTGGCAGTGAATTCCACATTTTAATCACTCTCTGTGTAAAGAAGTATTTCCTTTTGTCCATCCTAAATCTCCCACCCATCAACAAATTCATGCTACACTTTTAAGCAATTATTATAAGTTAACTCTGTTATTTGTTGCAGCAGCTACTAATAGGAAAGTTTAACAATAAGAACCCTGCTTTTCCTTGCAGCGTGTATGGAAGTGAAACTCCACTGCCTCTGATGACCTGATAGCTCTATGAAAACCTGAGCTTCCAACAAGTACAGATCTGCCTTTGTAGACCTATCTTGATGTATCCTACCTAAATGCAAATGAATCAAGGTTTTCACAAAGATATTTAATAACAAACATAGAATCCTCGCAATAACATACTCGGTCACGGGTCAGCATCTGTGTTCTGTTTTTATGCACGATTTTAATAATTCCCGGGGGTTGGATCCATGCCTCTCCATCTACTTGTACTGGGACTCCTTCCTCCCCAAGTATGGTGATTTTTACTGATCGGCACTGAAAGACAATAAAACAGTTTTCAATTTGGGCTAATACATTCAAGGAAACTGACAAAAAGAAGTGTGGGGGTCATTAGTGGCTGTGACTCCCTCCGGGTTGGTCTCAAGGCAGCCCCCCCCAAATCTGCCGCACTTTGCCATGTCTGGCAATTCACACAACTCATAAAATGAAAAAACAATTCACACAACTCATAAAATGAAAAACAAAAGTCAACCGCCCTGAGCTACTGGATAGGGCGGGGTATAAATCCCCCCAAAATAAATAAATAAACCCTTCACGTGCTCTTCAGCCTCTTCAGAGCTTGCCTTGCCAGCTCATTCTATATATTTCAAACAATACACACACACCTGCGCAATCCTGTGGTGTTGTAGCTTGATAACACGGGAGACAGCCATCTGCATGCTGCCAAATACCGCAACAACCTCCAAGATCTTATCATCAAACGACGGCGCCCCAAATATCTGAGAGAGGGAAAAGAAAACATCCATGGAGAGCCAGTTTGGTGCAGTGGTTAGGAGTACGGACTCTAATCTGGGAGAACCAGGTTTGATTCCCTGCTCTTCCACATGCAGCTGCTGGTGTGACCTTGGGTCAGTTACAAGTTCTCTCAGAGCTGTTCTCTTAGTGGCAGTCCTCAAAAGAGCTCTCTCAGCCCCACCTACCTTACAGGGTGTCCATTGTGGGGAGGGAAAGGGGAAGGAGATTGTAAGCCGCTCTGAGACTCCCTCAGGTAGTGAAGTGTGGGGTATAAATCCAACCTCTTCTTCTTCTCTTCTTATGATCTGAAGAGATCCCTATGAGCTGCTCAGAGCCAGGCTTGGATCATGACCATGTTCCCTCTTGTGCTTTTCTCCGGCTGCTGAAGAGGCTTTCCCCCCTGTGGCTATGGCACTGGTGTCCTCTACCTTCAGCACGCCCAAGGCCAGGGCTTTCCTTGGAACCCTCGTGCACCTGGAAGCGCTTGCTGCAGGGGAGGTGTGAGCACCATCAGGGAGGATGGAGGCCCTCTGCAATAGCAGGGGGGGACACTAGTCAGAGGGTCAAAAATACTGATTTTACTGACCAAAATTCCTAAAAAACTGACCAAATACTGACAAATTACTGAACAATTTAATGTCACCCTACTGATAAGCTAGCGTTTTAAATGTAAAACCAGGACTTCATTAAAATTATCTGGCCTCCACCATCCCCATAGTTAGAGGTGACCCAGATAAAAGGACTGCACACCTTTTTATTGATTGTTTTAATGAGTAGAGGACAATGTTTTCATTATTGTACAAATTTAAGGCAAAAAAGATTCCCTTTTTAAAATAATCACATACTGCAGATAATAAAATGGCAAAACAGCAAAAGCATATTAAAAACCAAACATAAAGTAATAATTATGACAACAAAACATAATTACTATAAGACTTGTCTTTGCTCGTACTTTATCTTTGGCTTTTTGATGAAAAAAGAACCGGCCAGCAGCCTGCCATCCCTGGTGGAGGCCGTGTCGGGCTGGGCACTGGAACACCCTAGACCGACTGTCCTGCGTGATTTCAGTGTCCATGCAGACGATGTGGCCTCCACTCGGGCGATGGACCTAGTGCCATCCCTGGTGGCGCTGGGACTCCCACTCACCAGACCGGACACACGCTCGATCTGATCTTTGCAGCAGGGGTCACAGTGGACCAGGTCACAGCCTCAGCAGTGCCATGGTCGGACCATCATGCCCTGAAGGCCCATCTGAATGTTTCACCCTGACCCTGTTTGGGCAGCGAGCAGGTTTCAGCTTGCCCACGGACCCAAATGGCCCTGCGGGATCCGATGCCCCCTGGCGGCTCGTTAGATGAGCTTGTGGAGGGTTGGCACAGCTGACTCTCAGCAGCCATCGATGAGATCGCTCCCTGACGTCCTCTGCGTCCTCACTCTAGGCTAGCTCCTTAGTTTACTGAGGAGTTTCAGCTGATGAAGTGAAGGCTATGATGGCTAGAGCAGCAGTAGCGGTACACCTGCGATGAAGCCACATCATCTTATAGGACGTTTATGAGATCCTATGAGATGGCAGTCAAAGCCACTGAGAGTATTATATGGCCACGATTGTGTCTGCAAGCTCATGCCCAGCCCAATTATCTAGAATAATTAGGTCTATGACTATTCTGCCACAAGGCAGACGAAATGTTAGGGAACTGGACACTGGCTGTGAGGCCTTTGTGAGCTACTTTGCAGATAAAGTCCTGTCGCTTTGCCGTGACCTCCCCGCCACAGTTAAGACAGTAAGTGTACTCAAGGCTCCATGCAAGTCTTCTAGTCAGGTTATGGATTATTTCAGTCCGCTCAGCCTGGAGGAAGTTGACAAACTGCTCTTAACTGTATGCCCTACCACGTGCTGCCTTGACCCGTGCCCATCATGGCTAATTAAAGCTGGCCGTGATGGGTTTCGAGATGCCCTAAGGGAGATTATCAACAAGTCCCTCTCGGAGGGACAGTTCCCTAGGGGAGGGGTGGCCAAGCGTGCTTAAGGCAAGAGCCACAATGAATAAACATCAGATGTTTGAGAGCCACAAGACAGGAGCAAATATCACACACGTGTTTTTATTGGAAATGTGCACATTTGGTTTTTTATTACCATTGAATGAGACTGCCAAAAATAAAAACAAAAGGGGTAAAAACAGATATTGATAATGATATTTATTTGTCCAATGATATTTGTAGGCTTGGAGGGGGGGGGGGGCTTAGAGAATGCATTTTAAGTTAAAGTTGCCTTCTTCCTCTGCTTCCCCCCCCCACCTCAAGCCTACCCAGGGAGGGGAACACTGGCGGGGAAAGGGGAGACCAACCAGGGAGGCCGATGCCTTCCCTTCGCGTCCCCAGCCGCCTTGCCGGGAGCCGCACAATAGATGTGAAAGAGCCGCATGTGACTCCTGAGCCGTGGTTTGGCCACCCCCTGCCCTAGAGGGCACTCAAGGAAGCTGTGCTTTGTCCCTTCCTTAAAAAGCCATCTCTGGATCGGGCCGAACAGGCTGGTCTCCAATCTGTCCTGTTTGGGCAAAATAACTGAGAGGGACGTGGCAATTCAGCTACAGAGCTTTTTGGATGACACGTCCATTCTAGATCCTTTCCAGTCCGGTTTCTGCCCAGGCCACGGGATAGAGGCGGCACTGGTTGCCCTCATGGATGACCTCCGGAGGCATTCTAGATCCTTTCCAGTCCGGTTTCCGCACAGGCCACGGGACAGAAACCCTCCTGGATGACCTCCGGAGGCATCTGGATCAGGGTGGATTGGCAGCGATGTTGCTATTGGACCTGTTGGCGGCGTTTGACATGGTCAACCATCAGTTACTGATCCATCACCTCGCCAACACTGGAGGTCCAGGGGCCTGCCTCGCAATGGCTGGCTTCCTTCCTTCATGGTTGGGAGACAAAGGGTGGTGCTAGGGGAGCAGCTATCCCAAAGGCACCCATTGATTTGTGGAGTGCCCCAAGGGGCGGTGCTGTCCCCAATGCTATTTAACATCTACATGTGCCCCCTTGCCCAGAGTGCCCGGAGGCATGGGCTGGGATGTCGCCAGTATGCGGATGACACTCAGCTCTATCTGTTGCTAACCCTGGAAGACCTGGACCTGGCGTTACAAGCTGTGGCTGGTTGGCTCAGAATGAGCCAACTGAAATTGAATCCGACAAAGACGGAGGTCCTGTGCCTGAGCTGGGGCGGCCCGAGGCTAGGGATCCTACTTCTGACCTTCGATGGGGTGCAGTTGGTGCCAGCGCCAGAGGTTAGGAGCTTCGGAGTGCTCCTGGATGCCTCACTAACAATGGAGGCCCAGGTAGCAGCCACTGCCAAATCAGCCTTTTACCACCTCCAGCTGATTAGACAGTTGGTTCCCTTCCTCAAATGCAACAGCTTGGCGACAATGATCCATGTGATGGTCACCTCGAGATTGGACTACTGTAATGCTCTCTACATGGGGCTGCCCTTGACCCAAACCCAGAAGCTACAGCTAGTGTAAAATGCTGCAGCCAGGCTTCTGATGGGCTTCCCTATGCAGGAGCACATCCAGCCTGTGCTGAAAGCACTGCACGAGCTGCCGACAGCATACCGAATCCGCTTCAAGGTGCTGGTACGTACCTTTAAGGCCCTTTATGGTTAGGGGCCCACATACCTGAGAAGAACGCCTTTCTCCACATGTTCCCCAGAGAGCACTGCACTCAGGGTCACAAAATCGATTGGCCTCCCAGGTCCTAAAGATGCCAGGCTGGCCACAACCAGGGCCAGGGCCTTCTCAGTGGTGGCTGCCCTGGTCCTTGGCCTGTGCTGTTGCCTAAATATAGAGACCAAGATGAACCAACCACCAATATAGATCATCTGATTACAACACTAGTATTGGTTCCCCCTTCTGTAAGCATTGTTATAAGTACCTGATCACTTACTAGCACTTTATGATAATGCAAAGTTTTATTATTTAAGATTGTATATCATTTGTTACCTATATGTTTAATCTCTCTGTAAGCCGCCCTGAGCCCACTCCGGCGGGGAGGGCGGGTTATAAATAAATAAAGTTATTCACGAACTCTTTCACTTTTCAACAGTTTTCTGCACTGCATCCACAAGCATTTTTCCCCCTTGCCCTCTTCTTCCATTGCTTTCTCAACTCCTTCTAGCATGAGCTGTGCCATGTTGAATCCCACAATATCCATCACCTCTACTTTCATTGTCTCATGTTTTAAGAGGTTAATTATGTTTCTACACTTTGTGGAAGATTTCACCAAATCACTTTTACTCTTAGGAACAAAGTCCTTAAAGTACTTCATAACTAAACTGAGAACAATCTGTCTTCTCACTGGGAGGTCATCATGTTTCCCCAAAAATGCGGTAATGAAAATGGGAAAACACAAACTGCATTCACAAAAATCAAAGAAATACTGACTTTACTGACCATTTCCCACCCCTGCAATAGCCAGAGAGAAGCAGAAGGAGGAAGATGTCATCGTATCCAAGCCTGTGCCTAGTGTGATCTCTAATTTGTCAGGGAACCCTGAATACTGCAACACCAGCATTCATGGAGTCTATACTCCGGAATCTCTTAAACACAACTGGGAAATATGAAGGCTTTCGTATATAGTGCAGGACTGCAATGTCAAACACAACTGCAGGCACACCTTACAAGAGTTACACACCAGAAGAAGAGAAACTGACTGCTGTGTAAGTAGAAGACTTTATGTATGCATGCCAGAACATTCTGGCTATTCAGACTACCTATGAAGAAGAGGGAAAGGATTGAGGGATCAGAATTCCTTTAAGAAAAGTGCTACTTACATCATCCTCCTTCGTTCCGCCCCAGAAATTAATGCCGCCAGCATAGCTTGGGATGTTGAGAACAGCGATGCCCTGGAGACTGGGGAGGGGGATGTACTGCCCATCGCACTGCAATCCACAAGAGAGACCATGCAACAAAACTCACGCGTGAGTCAGGGGAGGCCCCAGTTTGGCCTGAACTAACACAAGGTGGCTGCCTGTCTTCCCACGGCTCTTCCCGTGGCTGCTTCTATGGACACTTTAAGACATGGAGGGGCTCAGCAGCAGGCCTGGTGGCAGGTGTGGAAGAGCCCCTCCTCTCTGCACTCCCGTCCCCTCTGCCCTCCCGTTCCCCCTGGCAGCAGCCAGATGCCAAGCAGAAGTCCCACCGGGCCACAGCCTTGCCAACCTTCCTAAGCCACACAAGGAAGCTGCTCGAAGGTGGAAGGATGGAGCCCAGGGCCCTGGGACGGGGGCAGCCCGAGGGCTCTCTGGCCCCCCCTGGACCGCCCACGATACGAAGCCATACCTCAAGCTGAACTTTTTGTTCCAGGTTCTTGTACGTCCGCTGCAATAACTCCTTTGTACCAAGCACACCATACCACATCATATTCTTTGTTCTGCTTCTAAAAGCAAAAGGGAAATGAACGTTTCGAGGCATGAACAATTCCAGGTTCCTGGAAAATACTAATCATTTTTTAATATGTCCAAGGGAGAAAGGATAACGGTAACATATACATTTACATGAAATACTTTTGTTTCAAGGCTTAGTAGTGACTTGATTACCTGCATTTTTCAGGGTGCTCCTCCCGCTTATTATTAAATTCTAATGAAATCTTTGCATCTAATCCAATGCCAAAATAGTTGTTCATGACACATTTCTCTGAATATCCTTCCCTATCAAAGAAATACACAGTTCTATGATAATCATCATGACACACACAGTAGACTGACGCCATTATATGTACAGATATTCAGACAAAGGTACAGTTCTAGCTTTTCAGCTGATCCCGCCTTAGCACCCACCCTGGTCTTCCTGCAGATTCCCCACCCCACCCCCCCATGCAACAACCAGCAAATCAATCAGAGTGCAGCACTACAAAAAGATGAACTCCAGAAACCATGCAAATCATGCACAGGTAAGTTATGCAGGCTCCTTTTGCATAACTGTCCTTCTGCAAGGCATGCGGAGGGGCCATGAGCTATGCAGGGATCTGAAATCCCACCTCCCTTCCTTGAGCACGGGAGATCTTATGCAGAGACACCCCCCCTCCGACCTTTGAGGTTCCCCACGCCTCTGTCACAAATGTTAAAGCTGGTCTAGCTAGAAATGTATAATACTTTAAAATGAATGGTGCCCTTTTCGGGATGCTTAATTCTATGCACAGCACCAGATTTCACCGCTTTTAGGGATTTATGTGAGATATACCTGGCTATGGGCATAAAGCATGCTGCAAAAAATCGGGGGGGGGGGGATCCATGGATGCTAAAACTGGATTCTGGCAGCTATTGCTCTGTGAATTCAAGTGGATCAGCACTTATAAACATATAGTGATGGATAGCTTTTCATGCGTATGTTCATTGAAGCAATAGGTATGGAGGAAAATGCACCATCCCTTTAAAAGAGGCTTAATGCATACAAACAGGCAGTGGATGCTTTTCATAGCATGGATGTCAACAATGCCCCATGAAGCCTTGATTAAAGGGATGGGGCTTCCCCCCACCCAGGCAAGGGGCAGCCTTAGGTGGGTCAGACACTCTCCTCACCAGCAGGTATAGGGGAGGATAAAAACGCAGCCACACCAGCCCTACCCCTGAGTTCAGCCTTTAGAGAGCCAAGGACATGGCTGCACAGTACCTGGCCTCAAGCAGCTTCCTCCCACTTGCCCTTTGGCTACCTTACATGGTTGTGCGGAGAGACGCCTGCTTTGTGTGTCCCAACACCAAAGTGGGACTCAGGAAGCGCTGGGGGGGGGGGGGGAGAAGTCAAGTCCCAGTGCTTGATTTCCAACTTCCTCTGCAGAGAGCTCTGCCTTCTCACAAACAGGCAACTCCCCTGCTACATGTCATATACATGAGTAGAAGGTACTCCTTCACCTTCAGGGAAACTTCTGATATGGCCAATCCTTTCCTGACAGTCTTCAAAACAGCAGACACGCTGTCCTCTGTGTGATCTATCCCCTGATCCTGCGCCACTGCTTCTGCCCTTATCCTTAACCGTGGGGTAAAAAAGACTGGACTCCACCATGTGAATTGCCCAGAAAACAGAAGCCATGGCTACCTTGAGCTATCTTCTTGCATATATCCTTGCACTTTAATTTGGATAGGAAAAGGAGAATACCAAAGATCCTATGAGGGAGCAGCTGACTGAGTAGACATCTCTTCCTTCTTAACCTTCTATGCCTCCACTGCTCCTAAACCCACACTCAATGGCAAGTTAAAGGGCTGGTAAGAAAGTTACTGCCGATCCACTTGCCCATGTCAGAAATCCAGGTGGTGTACAATACACCCGTTCCAGAATCTTGAAACTACCAATTCCCTAGATGATGGGGGGGGAGCCCTGCCTTTCTGTTCTGAGACAGGAGAACATCCCAGACACCAGAACTATCTCCTGTTGTCTTTTGCGTAGGTCTGTTTTCAGGCTGACAGCATAAATGACTTCTTGAGGGGAAATTCTGAAAGAATCCAGGAAACGCTAGTGAAACACATTTCCTCTCCCTGTCTGGACACCTGAATCCATTGAAGAAGTCACAATCTGTACAAAAAAATCTCTGCACAACTTACAAATGTTAATTTTGTGTGAAAAACAGAGAAAGAAAATGGCAATTAAATGAGAACAAAAATGACAACATAAATTAAAAAATAATGGTTTTTCTTACAGTGATTCTTGATCAGGATCAATAAAAGGTGTAGCACCAAATGGATCAATGTTTGCTAGCAACATTTTGCTGATAATGGAACTCCCTGCAATAGAGGCAGCTAGACCTGCCCTTAGACCTGATGGGAAAAGGGGGGAAAAATCCATGTTTTAAAAAACAAATCTTCCTGAAAGAGACAGCATGCAATGGATACCAACCAAGAACCACTGCCTCATGGCCAAAGAGCAGGTAAATGCCGGAATAACTCAAATTTGAAAGACCGTTTCACACTTCCTTTTCCTTCCTACAGACCTCCTACGAAATTGACAGCCGACAATGAGACAGGAACGTCAGCAGTTCTAATGTGGAGAGTGTCAGGAGAATGCAGAAGGTATGAAAAAAGAGAGCAACAGAAGAAAACAAGGTCTACACCAACCAAGGGATGAAAATCAAAGCTCAAGCAAAAGCCTTGGGAGTGAGGAACTGGAAGTGATATTATGCCCTACAGTTATATGTTTATACTGATGCTGAAACATTAGTTTACAATACAGAAAAACGTAACAGCTAAGAGGCCATCCAGTGAAAGTCAGAGGAGGGTTTAAGTGCCATCAAGAAGAAATGTTACTTACCATAAATTCTTCAACAAATACAGAGGGAAACTTCACCACCTGGGGTAATATCACCTTCTGGTTGAAAGACAGGGGCCAACGGCACTCTCGCCAGGGGATGGGACCCCAGCCTCCCTAGACCAGCCAGTGTAAAGGAGACACTCCTCATGCCCCTTAACAGAGCACAACAATGAAGGCAGCACGAAAGCCAAGCACTGCACAGAAGAACAAAGAGGACAGGTGGTCCTCATGGGGCTCCCTCCACCTAAGAGAGTGGCCCAGACCAAGGACTCCAAAAAGGACGGCGGACTGCCCTCTAGACATGAGGAAGGACGGGATTTTACCAGTAACTAAATTATTCCTTTCCTCCCATATCCCGAGGGCAGTCAATGGCTACTAGCCATGGTGACAGAGGAGAACCTTGACACTGAGAGGCACTAATCCTCTGAACCCCAGAGCCAGGAGGCCACATCGGGGAAAGGCCTCGGCCTCTCTGCCCTGTTGCTGGCCCTCCAGAGGAACTGGTTGGCCCCTGTGGGAGACGGGAGGCTGGACTGGAGGGACCCTCCCTGGTCTGACCCAGCAGGGCTCTCCTGGTGTCCTTCTCAGGGGAAGGCCTCGGCCTCTCTGCCCTGTTGCTGGCCCTCCAGAGGAACTGGTTGGCCCCTGTGGGAGACGGGAGGCTGGACTGGAGGGACCCTCCCTGGTCTGACCCAGCAGGGCTCTCCTGGTGTCCTTCTCAGGGGAAGGCCTCGGCCTCTCTGCCCTGTTGCTGGCCCTCCAGAGGAACTGGTTGGCCCCTGTGGGAGACGGGAGGCTGGACTGGAGGGACCCTCCCTGGTCTGACCCAGCAGGGCTCTCCTGGTGTCCTTCTCAGGGGAAGGCCTCGGCCTCTCTGCCCTGTTGCTGGCCCTCCAGAGGAACTGGTTGGCCCCTGTGGGAGACGGGAGGCTGGACTGGAGGGACCCTCCCTGGTCTGACCCAGCAGGGCTCTCCTGGTGTCCTTCTCAGGGGAAGGCCTCGGCCTCTCTGCCCTGTTGCTGGCCCTCCAGAGGAACTGGTTGGCCCCTGTGGGAGACGGGAGGCTGGACTGGAGGGACCCTCCCTGGTCTGACCCAGCAGGGCTCTTCTTATATTCAGTCTTAAAATCTGGAATGTTAAGTAGTGGGCTCCATTTTAAGGAAACCTGCATGTAAATCAATCAAAATTCATCCTGCACTTGGTGAACGTGCTTGGTGAATGTACAATCCAATCCCCATGGGGTAGTTCTACAGATCTTTTGTTCAGTGATTCTACCCTCCCCCCCCAAGAAACAACCGTTCACTGAATAGAATGAAGAAAAAAACACACGGAAGGGCCTTCCCAATTGTTTTGCGCATGGGGTACAAAAGTGTTGAAAATGCTACAAGGTTCAAGCTACAGCAGACAAAATTATATCAAAATAAGTATTTTTATATGGTATACACAATAATAAAATTAAAAACATAGGGCCTGAATACCAGGCTGCATTGAGAGTCAGAACAAAGTTTACATGAGCTGTAATAATCTCCCGTACAAAGTTGATGAACATGTCAAATGACCAACACAAGACCCCGTGCATTTCAACGCCAAGGGCCTTCCTCAGTGGTCAATAATACATACTTTTTAAAAAGCCTATCCAGAAAATAACATACATCAATCCTGACCAGGTGTTGTTATCTGGAAATACAAAAGAAAAGAGGAAAAATAGAGAAGCAGAGAGAAAAAGAAAAAATAATGCTTATTTCCATTTTAACAGTTTGGCTTTTTTCTACCTAACACTGGTGAACTTTGAGATCTTTTCTTACCCAGAGACTCCTGCTTAGGTAAAGTTTCCGATCCCTTCTCCATAACCTAATTCCCAGCAGTCCTTCTTCTGATGAGTCAGGGCAGGATCTACAGAACTGATGCCACAACCTCGTCCGTTTGTAGAGTTTTAGCACAAGGAGGGCAAGAGAGAACACACTGGAAGAGGCCACAGGACTGCCCAGAAAGGGATAGAAAAGGGCTCTTGTCAAGCTCAGTATTCCAAAATTCTCATGAGAACCAGAGGAGAAGCTGACTGTTGGAATCACACTGAAAACCAGCACGATCAAAGGATGCCTGGCACAGATGTAGTATGAATGGGAATATAAAGATTTTTATATATAAGTTTCTTCTTCTTGATTGTTCATATTTATATTTCTCTGGTTTTTATAGATTTATTCCTTAAGTAATATTTTATTAGGATGTTAGAAAGGCCTGTTATATAGAAGGCTTTTCTCTTGTAGATCTGATATTGTTAGCAGACAACATAATAGGTACAAAGTTCATGATTCTGTAGTTCTTAGGGCAAACCTTTCAATGTCTGGGTCAGATAAGATTTTAGTCTCGTATCAGTAATGAATACTTTTGTTTGGGGAAGAACAAGCTTTAGCCGATATGCCTTAGGTCATGTCAAGTAAATATGTGACGCTATTGCATAGTCACACCTTTCTTACATTTGACCAATAAGGAGATTTTCATGTAAATGTTGTTTAAGTTTTTGTAACCAATTATGCCTTTTGAATATTATTCCCATGATGATGGTATGATGATGTCATTTTAAGTATTTAACTTTATGTATTTCCTGAATATGTTCAGAATATGCTCAAGAAGAAAATGAAGAAGAAAAAGAAGAAAGTTGTCAATTTTTGGTTAACTATTTGGTCTAATTGTTTTCCTATTAATTGAGGCATGTTTCCTAATTATGCTGAGAAGAAAGCAATCAGTTTTGATGGGTCCTTTGGCCCAACTGTTTTCCATATTTCATTACAATAAAATACAAGAACTTCCTCCTCATTTGACTTCATTTTTGACATGGAATCTAACGTCTACAACACAGAGAGAAATCAACCCGCCAAAATACCACCCGCTCTCCAGTACATCCTCACTCCTCTGACGTATCAAAAGACAAAGAACTCCAGCAATCCAAGGAGAAGAGATCTGGGGTAGAAGGGTTTGTGTCCACAAAGAAAAACAAACATATGATAAAGTCACATCATTTCACTGATAATCAGAAGTGCGAGGTATTCCATGACTCACAAAGGGTGACCTAAAATGCATTCCATAAGCGTTGATTTGAACCGTGAGAGATGGCACAGCTTTTTCCTATTAAAAATATGGCCAGAAAGCCAGGAGGTTTAGCCTTGTCATCCTTAATCCTTTCTGCTCTGCACGTTCTTCTCCTTTGTCCCCTTCTCACCCTTTTGTGTGGAGGACCCCATCTAGTCTCACCGCTCTCGTGCTTACTTGCTCTGCTCCACCTCTCCTGTAGTGCTGCAACCATTACACGATAAACATGCGCTCTTTAATTAAGACTCCCACTGTTATGGGTGATCGGATCTCTTTCAGGACTATTTGTGTGGTTCAGCCACTCTTTTGAGTCATTGTGTGGCGCTCAATAACCCCATTTTGTTGACAGGCAGGAGTTTTTAAAGGGTTCCTTTTCCCCCTCTTCTCTCTGGAAGGGCAGAAGCTAGGTCAGTTACCAGCCATAGGCCCCAGTCAAAACGAGAGGATTTGCCGATCGGGGGCGCATCAAGCGGGTGCAATCATACCGCAACATCTGGGAAGCGGTGCACACCCTTCCCTTATCCGTCTCTTCTGGCTGAAGATGCGGAGTTAAAATAAACCTGCTAAGCACCTACCAAAAAGTCCAAAAAGTCCGCGCGGCCGTGGGATCGCCGGCATGCCCGTCTCCGGCAGCATGCGAGGCCCCCTGCTGAACTGCGCAGGCGCACACATGCGCAGTGGGCTCGCCTCGCTCACCAATCTGTGGCTTCCCCTGGCATCTGATTATGCCGGGAAGCAACTGCGCGGCGGCTCGGGGGATCTGTCTGATCCCGCCGCCACACTTCTCTTTTGATGCGGCTCAAAAAAGCCACACTTCAGTAGCACCTTTTCCCCCAGTGTGACCGGGGCCATCGTTATGCAAATGACTCGGCTTACAAGGTTATTGGAGTATTTGGTGTTTGGAGCCTCCAGGTGACTCATGAAGATTTCCCAGAATGCCTTCCAGGATGGCTCCCAGGATGCACCTGCATGCCCCAGGATGCACCTGGGTGGACCAGGTCAAAAGGAGAGGAGAGGGTGGTGTAAAACTGGGTAGAGTCAGAGGTTTAATAAAGGTGCTTGCTCCCAGGAAGGAGGGTCTCTTTGTGCTGGCTCGTGGAAGGGAACAGACCTCTGGTTGCTGGTCTGAAAGCTGGTAGCCATCTTTGGGGGAGGGGCACGTGGCTTGGCCCACTGGCTGCAGGGAGCCTTTAGAACCCTGTGCAACTGTCTAGGTTTTTAGGTAACTACTGAGATTGTGAAACCTAGTTGGAGTGTTAGAACCAGGGGAAAAGACCAATTGTTCTTTGTTCTTCCGTGTGCTGATCTGTTGTTGTGATTAAGTGTGCTTAAACTTACTTTCTTTTTAATACATCCTTTTTAATATTGGATGTTGCCCTAGGTTTCTGTACCACATAGTCCTCCAACTGCTTGGATAAGC